TTGAAATCACCTAGTGGGTGTGTGAGGATATACTTTGCATTAATTTCTATCACCAATGTTCTAACAAGAATGACGAGGGTTTGTACAAGCACATGCTACTGTGCCATATATTGTAGGGTGTGTAAGTGGGATTGTTTCTTGGTATTTGAAATATACATGAAGAAAACAAATCAGTAAGTCCATTAACAGTTCCATGGTTAAACTTCAAAAGATTATTACATTGATTTATGGCATAAATCTACTATACAGAAGAGAAAGCAAATCTGGACTTTCGCAGTTGTAACAGTACATGTGCTCATATCAATTTGAAAAGGAAGCTCTGTAAAAAATGAAAAAAAGCAGACTTTTTAAATTTACCTGAAATCCAAACCATCCCAAAAAAAACAAAACAAACAGTAATACAAAAATTATAGAGAAACCCCAGCATCACTCCTCCATGTACTCACTTTTTCATGAAGATCTGCTGGCAGTGGTGGCGCTGTTTTCAATTGTGATATGATTTCATTCACATCTAACAGCAAGTAACTCACCAGTTAGAGGATGGCACAATACTTTGTATACTTTATGAAGGTTATAAGGCAGTAGAGCTGTTTTTACTCATGAGAAAACCCCTGTGATTGAACCCAGGACCTTTGGAATTGGAAGGTATGAATCTTAACCACCAAATGAGGTAAATTAGTTCCGCTATGTGGGGTCAATACTAAAAATGACCATTGTAATAGGGATTATACTTCCACATTCTCAATTTTTTAAGTGTATGGATCATTTTTGCACATACATTTTTGGATAATCGATGCACATTAAGCAATTATGAAAAGATAATTGTAATTAATGCTACTGCTGCTGGCTTCTGAGTTAAAATTAGCCAACAAAAAACATGTGCTCCAACCTTATGAAAAAATGTTGTAGTTGATTTTGATATGACAGGTATACAACCCTTCACTTACCCTGCAATTGTTGTGGGATAAGCTGACCCATAAGATGTTGACTCTCCAACTGAAATTCAATGAAGATTTGATCAATCGCAATCTTATCATAATACAGTACTGAGGTTAGCAGAATATACAGTATCACATATTAGTGTATATCACCTATTTTTCGATGACCTAGAAATTCACAATGGACATCAGAAAGGTATTTCTCCCACAAGGATTATGAATTAGCAAGTAAACTATTCGATAAACATTGCAAACTTATTTAATGCATACAAGAACGCAATGAGACTATAGCACTTATTCCATTAGATAACTAATATATCTGTATTTAACATTACTTGATGCCAATGTTTTTTTTTTTATCTGTACAACAATTCAAATTTCAGATCCTGTACTACTGTACTGTTAGTAATTTAATTTTCTTTATTTTTCCTTTGTATGACTGACTGACATGTTTAAACTTTTGGTATATTTTACAGTGTTTATTGTATCTCATTTAATTGTATCTCATTATTTTATTTAATTGTATCTCATTTAATAGGTCTACAATGTATATTGTACTTTAACTGGAAACCATGTTGCAATATCATATTATGAACATCAAGTTATGTATCCAATTATTACATTCTATAAGTCAACATTAATAATCATCTACCTGTGTGGATGCTTTTTAGCCTGAAATTAAGCTGTTCAATTTTTCAACTAAACTGTTTGTGTTTATGAAAGATGCAATAATATATAATATAACACGCAGCGTCATTTCTTCTTTTTCAAGATTGACTTATCCTGTTTATGACATATAGGATTGCTGGAACTGTTCCTTTAAACCTGTCCATCATTTTATTGTGAAATACTATTGTGGTAATTTTAATGTAGTTTATGTCAAATTTGTTGAATTCGTATTTTATTGTTTTAAATTATTTATGCAATTTTGAATTACCTTTTAATTTTGCATTTTTATCATTATTTATGTTCTTTAATTCTTTTAATTATTGTTTAATTATTAATTGTCAGTTTTTAATTGTTTAATTGTTGTCTTTATACATATGCGCTTTTAATCAACTTATATATTTTTAATTGTCGGTTGATTGATCATTGATTTTTGGTTGTCATTTTTTACACATTAGAAAACATCAATGCAATTATTTTTAACTGCAATTTGATGTAACTAAACACTTTACCTAATTTTTTCAGTATACTGGCTATTGGTATTTGGAATTTACTTTAATCTCAGAGTTCTTAGTTTTTTATTGCTTTGAAATTTTGCATTTATTTCCACATTTGGCAAGACTTTCTTTCTTAATTGTTTCAGGGACCCTCTTCCTTATGATAATGATTTAAGTTAAAAATGTAATTGTATGTATTTTCAGTAGGGTGTGGTTGTTTAAATGGGAAAGGGAGAGCTTAAAATAAAAGTTTGACTTGGATTGATATCAGCTACGAAAATGAATACATTAATCTGAACTTTACTTTAGTTCAAATTCACTGCATGACTGAATTCATCATGTCATGTTTGACTGCACTCACAAAGAAACCAGCCTATAAGATCACATGACTGAAGACAGAACCTGGAAAAACCCATTTCAATATTTGCAGACACTTCATGCACACCTAACATTTAATGGAGAATTTTTAAGGTAAATATTTTATTAATTTATGTTCTCAGTACGAGAGATTCGATAAAATAACTAAATAACCCACACAAATTTGAACATACTGAATAAAAATATTATTGTATCTTAGTGAAACGCAGTGGCATACTGTATTGTAATATTAGAGTGATTTGGTTGGAGTGTGGTCTGATGAAATACCTTAATTGTGAGAGTCCATAATACATTTTGTACTAATATGCTACAAAGCTTTATTCAGCTATTCAACTAATCTACTGCATTACATATATACAAATGACTAACTCCAGGTTTCTCAGATGTTACTAGAGAAACCTTTTTAGAGTGAAGTCAGTTCCAAGTTCATTCATTCATTCTTTATTTAGCCTTTTTATAAAAATCACATTACAATTTGCCCATACAGTAAAATAGAAATTCACAATACAGAATAAAACTGAAAATTTTAGGAGGCAAGGATTAACAAATGCAATTAAAATTGCTGTAGCTCACAAGCTAGTTAATTCATTCTTAGAGAAACAGCAATTTAAAACAGAAGATATAATAAATAATAAAAATTATACTTAAAAAGAAAAAAAGAGGAAATTTAAAAATGAGACTTAATCATTATTGCAAAACGAAAAAATAGAATTTAAAAATTATAAGATTAAAAAGGGGAAAAAAATTAATAAAAAATACAAATTAAAAAAAAAAACAAAAAACCAAAAATAAAATCAATATACATAGGCCAAGTTGTTAGCTAAGCTTAATCTAATACTTTTAAGTCTTAAACTCAGTCTGATCTGTCAGTGACACTGGGTCTTTATCATACTTATTTTAGTATTGAGGCATTTCTTAAACTAATTACCTCATGCTTTTGGAGTTTCTGATTGGATCATAAAAAAAATTATTTCCCTATGATTTAATAGCCTGTTTATCAAGAAACTGATAATTAAGTTATATTAGAAACAACATAGCTTTTGCTTAAAAGTTACAATCAAATGTGGGAAAGTGTAAGTCCAATTGTCCAGAAGTGAATGCTTGTCACTTTTAAGAAAGATCGATTGTATAATCATGGAGGAAATATATTTAGAGGGAGTATTCACAAGTGGATCATTAAATTGTTAAGGTTGAGACTTTTAACAGGTGTAGGGTATTGATATACAAATTCCAATAGTTATATAAGTTAATACTATTGAACCTATATTATTAAAATTTTATTATGAAAAAAATCGCGAGGAACTGAAAAACATTTTAGACGTAATTTTTTATACAGTACACAATCATTCGAAGGATTGAAATTTTTTCATAATTTACAGACTGTGTTTTAATGTGTATATTCTAACATTCTAATTTTCTCGCCTCATTTCTTTGCGGTGTAATTTTTGCTTACTCTACTGTACCTAGAACTTTCCGAGATTTCACTACCAAATGTGTTTTTTTTTTGCAAAGCCGATGCTTGTGTGATTGTGAGCTTCTTACAGTACCTATCAGGTCCAATGCGGCCTGAGGCGGTATGGCAAGAATCCTTAGGAGGTCAGCTTTATCCACCAGAACCAGAACCATTCTAATCATCAGATTTTAAAAATATTGGTAGTGCTCCAGTATATAGGCCTATTATATTGATTATTTTTGGTTGGCATTAATATTTGTGCATGCAGGATATTAAACCAAATAGAAAAACAAGGTAAAATATCACCCTGCGCTTTTTTTTTTTAATTTTAAAGAATATAGCTGGTGAGTCGAAGTAACACAACCTTTCGTGTTTTCTAGGAGACCAAGTTAGAATATAACTTCTAGGCGACCACTTTTTAGTCAGGCCAACTCTACATGGCACATAAATCATCACTAGTAATACAAAATTATCATTGGCTCTACTCCCTTAAAAACGTTTAGTTACGGCATGGCAATATGGGTAGCTAAAATTTGTGCTGAAAATAATAAAATTAGTGTTGGAAATATCGCCACAGTTAAAGTATGGGTAAAAGGCAAAAGGTTCCACAAATCAGCCCATTAATTATTAAAATGCACTCACAGATTAAAGGGTAAGAAATACTAAAATATCATAAAGTAAATTTTTGTATCCATTACCACATAATCTATCATAGAAGCATTTGCATTATGAGCAATATACATATAAGTTTAATACTATCATTACTTTGAGCCCAAATTATAATATAGTAAATATCAAAAAATTATTAAATTCACAGGATTTTAATTCAAGATGGCTGCCAGTAAGTTGGAACAGTTTTTAAAAAATGTTGATGAGAAGGTCCTAGAGTGTACCATCTGCTTTAAGAGACTTCAAAATCCTAAATCCCTCAACTGCCTCCATAGTTTCTGTTTGGCATGCCTGGAAGATTGGGTTAAGGAGAAGGGTAAGCTGACTTGCCCAACTTGCTCAAAATCATATCCCATTCCAGAGGGCGGGCTTCAAAAGCTTCCACCAAATACCTTTCTAAATAACTTATTAGAAACTATTGAACAATTTTCTGAAAAAGATCAGATGAGTTGTGTATGTGGAAAAGGACAGGTAAAATACTACTGCCAGGAATGCAGACAGTATTTGTGCTCTAATTGCAGCAATTACCATAAAATGTTTCAAGTGTTGAAAAATCACAAGTTACATTTAATGGAGGATGTGCAATCAATGAGCCCCTCTCAGATGACTTTGTTACATCCGCCTCTGTGTTCACATCACAGTAAACCTTTGGAGTTCTACTGCACAGATTGTAAAACTCCTATTTGCGTGAATTGTGTACTTATGGACCACAACGCATGGGATGGAAAACACAAATCAATCACCATCTCTAAAGCATTCCAAACATTTAAAGAAACTTCAGCCACCTTGGAAAAATCTGCCCAATACTTTGTTAACAAATTAGAAGATGGTCTCAAAGCTGTTATTCAGAATGCTACAAAATTAGACCAATGTAAAGACACATGTTTGAGAGATATAGACAATCACGTTGAAGAAATATTCAAAAAAGTAAAGGAGAATAGTGACAAAATGAAAAATGAAGTGAAGACAATCTACAAAACAAAAAAGAAAGTAAATGATATACAGATGGAAGAATTAAAAACAACAATATCTGATATAAAAACAAAACTGTCTTTTCTTCATCAATTATTGAAAAGTGACGAAGGCACAGCAATGCAGTCAAGTGAAAGAGTACTTACAGCACTAAAGGACAGAATAAATGAATTGCCAAAAACAGAGCCAGATGATAATGGAATAATTTACTTCTTTGTAAACAAACAGCAAATGGATTCATTGAGACAATGTGATATTGGGACTGTAAAAGAATTGAGGGCAGCAGACTGTTTAACTTTAAAAGAAGAGGAATCTGTGATCAAAGATCAGATAATTACTGTCAAAATAATCAAAACAGATGAACATAAAATATATGCAAATCAACTGAAGGCAACATGGACACAGCCTACAGGGGAAACCAACATCTCCCAAATTCAGGAAGATGACAATGGAGATTATTTTGTGACAGGAAAATGCACAAGTTTAGGAGTTTGTAAACTAGATGTGAGTGCTGATGATGAACCAATTAACCAATCACCAATGACAATCAAAGTAGAAGAGGGAAGATTATTGAAAACTATTCAAATAAATGCAATAGAAATTACAGATGTATTTAAGTGTGAAGATGACTCCTTACTGGTTTCATGTAAGACAAATGAAATGCTCAAGTACAAGCAATCAGGAGAATATATTGGTAAGGTTACACTACCACAAGGTATAAAAGTGTGGAGAATGTACAAAA